AAAATTAATATTAGATAATATTTAATAATTTTAAAAATATTTAAAAATACTCAATAATTAAAAAAAATGAAGAGATAACAAATAAGATAAAATATATATAAGTAAAATAAAAAGAAAAAAAAATGAGGAATTTCAAATTCTTACTTTTTTGGGAGAATTTGAAATTCTACTATTTCAAGAAATTTTAAAAATACTTGAATTTCAAATTCTACTAGCAACGAAATCACTTATTTGTGAGGGATTAGCGAAAAACCTTTTCCCTCACTAATTTACGACGGATTTGCGAGGGCTATACTTATAACTCATTAGCGAGGGATTTGCGACAAGAAAACTCCCTCGCTAGATGAAAAATTCGTTTTTATATTTTGGCTCATAATTTGGCGAGGGCTTTGCGGAGATTTGCGAGGGCCTAGGTTCCTCACTAAATAAGCACTAACTTTAACGACGGATTTGCGAGGAGATGAAGGTTGGTCGCAAAATGATCCTATTTAGCGAGGGAATTTAGCGAGGGATATAAATCTAAGCTATTTCCTCGCTAATTAGCGAGGGATTAGAGAGGAATTGTATTCCTCGCCAGTCCCTCGCTAATTAGCGAGGAAATAGCTTGGATTTATATCCCTCGCTAATCCGCGAAATTCTTGTAGTGCATTAGATTTCCTTTTTATTTTGTATAACCATTTGTTTCCTATAGGAATAACTCCAGGTGGGAGAGACACCAAGGGCCAAGTGCCATTGAGCTCAAGAGTAGTGATCTTTGCAGCCATGGCTTGCTTCCAACAATCATGCTTACTGGCTTCGTGGTAAGAGGTAGGCTCATGATGGTGGTCAAGAGAAGAGCTATAAATGGCATGTGAAGGGGATAAACTAGCTAGAGAAACAAAAGACAGAATAGGATAGAAACTACCTGACTGATGCTACTAAGGAATGATGGATGAATTACATTGATAGTCTTGCAAGTAGGATGGTTTGGTTTTGTGTCTGGTGGATTTTCTGACAGGTGGTGCAGAAGGTGAATTAACTGTTGGAGAGGAAAGGGGTGTGAGATTATGCCTTAATCGTGTGTTTGTCCTTGTTAATCATGATTGTTGTCCTAACTACAGTATTTATTCGTCTCGGCCATTGGCCGAGCCGAGAGGTAAAGGGTCGCCTAAGTGTGGGCGTCTTGTACAAAGCTGTCTTCGGGTCTCGACCTCCGACCGGGCCGAGACGTTATTTGGTTAACTAGTTAGGTTACTAATATGGCCAGGACTTCAACGTTTTGGGCACAAAGGGCCTTGTAGGTTCAGCCATCTCGACCGCCGACACGTCCGAGAGCCTATGTTAAACCATGTGATGTAGAAGTCCTTGCATCCCGACCGTCTCGATGGCTGATATGCCTGAGACTATTGCACTTTGGAAAACACCTTTTGTCTCGGCTGTCTCGATGGCTGAGAGGGTGTGTCATGTACCCTTTCACGTGGTCGATGTGATTTTTCCAGTATATATATATATATATAT